TCCCTCCTCCTCTCTCGCCAAGCAGCTGGTTTACATGCATAGCTTCGGCGTGGCTCCCCCCTTATCCCCGATCGCTAAGCTCCGCCCACTTCCTTCTCCTCCTCCTCCTCTTCCTCCTTCTCTGTCTTGTGTCTTATACAGTTCTTCGGATTTTTTTCTACTATGTTTTATTCTGTGTTTTGTTATTCGAGTCATGTTGTTGTTGTTTTATTCATTTGTTTTTTAATTTTCCTTCTCTTCTTTTCTTCTCCTTTCTTCCTTTTTCTCCTCTTCTTCATCTTTTTCCTTTCTCTCCCTTCTTCCCTTTTTCTCCTCTTCTTTCTTTTTCTCCCTTTTCTCATCTTTTTCCTTCTCCTTTTCTCCTCTTTCTTTCTTTTTCTCCCTTTTCTTCATTTTACCCTTCTCTCCCTCTTCTTCCTTTTTCTTCGTCTTTCTTTCTGTTTCTCCCTCTTCTTGATCTTTTTTTCCTTTCTCTTCCTCTTTCTCCCTCTTCTTCCTTTTATCTTTTCACGCTTCCTATTTCAGTTTCTCGTCTTTTGTTTTCCAACTCTTTTTCTTCCATTATTCCCTCCAGCTCTGTGTCATTTAGGTTTATCTCTTTTATTCAGATTTTATTCCTATGCCTCCACTACCACCTCCTTATCTTCCTCCATTCTTTGCTTCTCCTCCTCGTTTATTCCTCCTCTTCTTCTTCTCCTCCTTCTTCTACTTCTCTTTTTCTCCTTTTTGCTTCTCTTTTTCGTACTCCTTCCCCTCCTCCTCCTTCTTTTTCTTCTCCTTCTCCTCCTGTTCCTCGCCCTTCTCATTCTAGTCCTTCGTCTCCGTCTCCACTTCCTGCTTCTATCATTTCTTCCTTCTCTCCTTCCCTCCACTTTCTCTATAACCTTCTCCTCCTTTCTCTCCTTTCTACCTCCTCGTTTTACTCCTCCTCCTTCTTCTTCTTTCCCTCCTTCTCCTCTTCCTCCTCCCTCTCCTGCCGTCTTCTTTTGCTCCTCCTTTACTTTCTGCTTTCTCTCCTTTTCCATTTCCGTCTATATCCACTTTTTGATTTCATTATTCTACCTCCGCCACTATTACTACTACTACTTCTATTTTCTTTCTCCTCTTCTTCCTCTTCCTCCAACTAAATCCTCATCCTCCTGGTCTCTCTGACCTTCCACCACCTCCCTTTTCTCCACTTCCTCCTCTTCCTGCTTTTTCGTCCTCCTCCTTATCTTTCTCATCCTCCCTTCTCTCTCCTCTTCCACCACCCCAATATTCTCCTCCTGCTTTCACTCCTCCTCCTCCTTATCCTCCTCCTCTCGCTTCTCCTCCTTCTCCTCCTAATCCTCCTCCTCTCGCTTCTCTTCCTCTTCCTCCTAATCCTCCCTCATTTCGCTCCTCCTCGTCTTTATCCGCCTCCTCTCTCACTTTCTCCTTCCATCCCCTCTCTTTCTCTCCTCTTTTAGACTTATATCCAAACTTTTCTCTCAAGCGCAAAACCCCAAACCCCAGAATATAAAAGAAGGCGTAAGTAACATGTCTGAGATGATCTTGAGAAGTGGGATCTCTCCCTTCCTGAATCTTCCCCAGACACCTCCCTCTCTTCCTCTCTCCCTCCTTCCCCCTCTCTTTTCTCCTTTCCTCCCTCGTTTCTTTCCTTCTTTCTTTCTTTCAGTCGGACTTCCTTCTCTCTTGCATTTTTTCTTCTTCTTCTTCTTCCTACTTTGTTTCTTTCTTTCGACCGTCCTCTTCTCTCTTTTTCTCTCTCTTTTCTCCCTCCCTACCTTCCTCCCTGCTCTCTCTTTTCTTCTTCCCCCTTCTTTATTTCCTTCATTCGGCCCTTACCCTACTCTCCTCCTTCTTTGCCTTCTCCCTTCCCTACCCCCTATCTTCAGTCCTCCTCGCTTTTTCTCTCTACCTCATTTTCTCTTTTTTTATTGTTGATTCTTCCCTCCCTCTTTTCGAACCGTCCTTCATTCCTTTCCTCTTTCTTCTCTTCTTCCCTCGCTCTCTCCATCTCTTCCTCTGTCTTTTTTCTCACTGTTTTTTTCTTTTCCTCCTTTCTATCCCTTCTCTCTTACTTCCCTAATTCATCTTTCAACCTTCTTTCCTTCCTTCCTTTCTTCCTCCTCCCTCTGACACCCTCCTTTCTTCCGCCAACCTTCGAAACCAATCGAATTCCTCTTCTTTTCTCTCCCCTCTCCTTTCTCCATTTCCACATGCTTGCCCAATATTCTTTCTTACACGCTCCTCCCCTCTTCACATCTCCCCTCCCTTTCCCCCTCCCCCCCTACCATCACCAACCCCTTCCCCTTCCTCTTCCCTCTCTCCTTCCTTCTCTCCCCTCCCCCCTGTGCAAAAGCCCTCCCATTCCTCCAGCATCAATATTGCAAGCGTCTATCAGCGCTTGCAACACGGCCAGACGTTTGTACTGCAGGACAGCACAAGCCGGGATCACCACAGCGCAAACCGGAATCACCACAGCGCAAACCGGAATGCAAACCGGAATCGATACAGCGCAAACCGGAATCACCACAGCGCAAACCGGAACCAAAGCGCAAACCGGAATCGACACAGCGCAAACCGGAACCAAAGCGCAAACCGGCAAAGCGCAAACGGAACCACCACATCAAACACAGCGCAAACCGGAACCGACACAGCGCAAACCGGAACCAACACAGCGCAAACCGGAATCGGAAACCAACACAGCGCAAACCGAACCGACACAGCGAACCGGAACCGACACAGCGCAAACCGGAACCGAACACCGCAAACCGAACCAACACAGCGCAAACCGGGAATCGACACAGCGCAAACCGAACCAAAGCGCAAACCCAACACAGCGCAAACCGGAACAACAGCACCGGACCACACAGCGCAACCGGAACCGACACAGTGCAAACCGGAACCAACACAGCGCAACCCGAACCAAAGCGTAAACGAACAAAGCGCAAACCACACAGCGCAAACCGGAACCAACACAGCGCAACGGAACCGACAACGCGCAAACCGGAACAAGCGCAAACCGGAACAACAAGGCAAACCGGAACCAACACAGCGCAAACCGGAAACCGGAAACACGCGAACCGGAACCAACACAGCGCAAAAACCGACCGAAACACAAAACCGGAACCGACACAGCGCAACCGGAACCAACACGCGCAACCGGAAACACAGCGCAAACCGGAACCAAAGCGCAAACCAAACCAACACAGCGCAAACCGGAACCAACCACAACCGGAACAAACGCAAACCGGAACCACACAGTGCAAACCGGAACCAAACAGCGCGAACCCGAACCAAAGCAAAACGGAACCAGCGCAACCGGAACAAAAAGCGCAAAACCGAACCAATACAGCGCAAACCGGTACCAACACAAGCGCAAACCGGAACCACACAGCGCAAACAACAACAGCGCAAACCAGCGCAAACCGGAACCAACACAGCGCAAACCGAACCAAAGCGCAAACGCGGAACCAGCGCAAACCGGAATCGGCAAACCGAAACAAAGCGCAAACCGGAACCAAACAGCGCAAACCGGAACCAACACAGCGCAAACCGGAACCAACACAGCGCAAACCGGAACCAACACAGCGCAAACCGGAACCAAAGCGCAAACCGGAACCAACACAGCGCAAACCGGAACCAACACAGCGCAAACCGGAACCACACAGCGCAAACCGGAACCGACAAGCGCAAACCGGAATCAAACCCCAAGCGCCAAACACCGGAACCAACAACGCAAAAGCAAAAAGAAAAAAACACAGCGCAAACGGAATCACACAGCGGCAACCGGAACCAAAAAGCGCAAACCGGAATCGACACAGCGCAAACCGGAACCAAAGCGCAAACCGGAACCAAAGCGCAAACCGGAACACACAGCGACCGAACAAACCCAGCGCAAACCGAACCAAAGCGCAAACCGAACCAACGCAAACCGGAACAACAGCAAAACGGAACCAAACACAGCGCAACCGGAACCAACACAGTGCAAACCGAACCAACACAGTGCAAAACCGGCAAACACGTGCAAACCAACAACAGTGCACCAGTGCAAACCGGAACCAACACAGTGCAAACCGAACCAACACAGTGCAAACCGGACCAACAGTGCAAACACAACACAGCGCAAACCGGAACCAACACAGCGCAAACCGGAACCAAAGCGAAAACCGAAACCAAGCGCAAAACCGGAACCAAACAGCGCAAACCGGTACCAACACAGCGCAAACCGGAACCAAGCGCAAAAACCCAAAGCGCAAACCGAACCAAAGCGCAACCGGAACAAACCGAGGAACCCGAACGCGGAACAACAAGCGCAAACCGGAACCAAAGCCAAACCCAACCAAAGCGCAAACCGGAACCAAGCGCAAACCGGAACCAAGCGAAACCAAAACAGCGCAAACGGAACAAACAGCGCAAACGAACAACACAGCGCAAACGGGCAACACAGGCAAACCCAAAGCACAAACCGGAACCAAAGCGCAACCGGAAAACGCACAGCGCACACCGGAAGCGCAAACCAACCAAAGCGCAAAACCGGAACAAAGGCAACCGGAACCAGCGCAAACCGGAACCCAAAGCCGCGGAACCAACGCAAAACCGAACCAAAGCGCAAACCGGAACCAAAGCGAACGGAACCACACAGCGCAAACCGAAACCAAAGCGCAGACCGGAACCAAAGCGCAAACGAACCGCGCAAACCGGGCCGCGTCGAGCCACCATTTCGTAATGCGATCCACCACTGTGCCTCCGCCGTCTTGTTCGTACGAGGCGAGGATATCCGTGCCTTGTCAGAACATCACACGGTGGTTAGTGAAAGTGAGAGGAGGAGGAGGAGGAGGAGGAGTGCGAAGATGAGGATAACAAGGAGGAGGAGGAGAGGGGAGGAAGGCAGAAGTAAGGGAGGGCTGAGGATACTAAAGGGGAGGAGGAGGAGGGGAAGAGGAGAGAAGGGGTAGGAGGAGGAGGAAGTGGGGGGGCAGGAGTAAGGGAGGGCTGAGGATGCTAAAGGGGGGGAGGAGGAGGAGGAGGAGTGCGAAGATGAGGATAACAAGGAGGAGAAGAGAGAGGGAGGAGGGGAGAAGTAAGGGAGGGTGCGTTGCTAAAGGGAAGGAGGAGAGGAGGAGGGGAAGAGGAGAGAAGGGGGGAGCAGGAGGAGAGGGGGGAGAGAAGTAAGGGAGGGTTAGTATGCTAAAAGGGAGGAGGAGGAGGAGGTGAAAGAGGAGAGAAGGGTAGGAGGAGGAGGAAGGGCGGGGGTAGGAGTAAGGGAGGCTGAGGATGCTAAAGGGGAGGAGGAGGAGGAGGAGGGAAAGAGGAGAGAAGGGTAGGAGGAGGAGGAAGGGGGGGGCAGGAGTAAGGGAGGGCTGAGTATGCTAAAAGGGGAGGAGGAGGAGGAGGAGGGGAAGAGGAGAGAAGGGGTAGGAGGAGGAGGAGAGGGGGGAGGGCAGAAGTTAGGGAGGGTTAGTATGCTAAGGGGAGGAGGAGGAGGAGGAGGAGGAGGAGGAGGAGGAGGAGGAGGAGGAGAGAAGGGGTAGAGGAGAAGGAGAGGGGGGTAGGGCAGGAGGGAGGGCTGAGGATACTAAAGGAGAAGAGGAGGAGGAGTGCGAAGATGAGGATAACAAGGAGGAGGAGGAGAGAGGGAGGAGGGCAGAAGTAAGTGAGGTTAGCATGCTAAAGGGGAGGAGGAGGGGGAAGAGGAGAGAAGGGGTAGGAGGAGGAGGAGGGGGGGGGAGGCAGAAGTAAGGGAGGGCTGAGTATGCTAAAGGGAGGAGGAGGGGGGGGAGAGAAGGGGTAGGAGGAGTAGGAAGAGGACAGTGGGGAGGAGGAGGAGATGGCAATTAGGATAAGAAAAAAAAAAATGAAAGGAGAAAGGGAGAAGGAGGCGAGGGAAGATTAGGAGAAGAGGGAGGGAGGAGGATCAAACGGAAGGGAATTTGAGGAGCAGGAGGACGATGAATGGGGGAGGACGAGGCATAAGCAGAAAAAAAAAAAATAAAAAGCGGGGAAGTGGAAATAAATGAAAGGTAAGGGAGAGAAGGAGAGGCATCAGAAGGCTAAGGGAAAGGGGAGAGAAGGGGAGGAGAGGGAGGAGAAGGGGGACAGAGGGCCAAGGAGGAGAAAGAGTGTGTGCTGAGCCACTCACGTCTTTGGGAACAGCCAGCGCCAGCCTTTGAACTGCCTCGATGAACTCGTCTAATGTATAATCCACGGGAGTACATTTTGGGTCTGCATTATACACACTGTAGGCGCCGCTGAATGAAGACGTCGATTCTATATGTGCGAAGAGGGGGAGAGGGGGGGAGAAAGGAGAGAATAACGGAGAGTTGGAGAGGGAAGGAGGAGGGACGTAGAAGGGAGGGAAGGAGGGATCTCTCTCTCTCTCTCTCTCTCTCTCTCTCTCTCTCTCTCTCTCTCTCTCTCTCTCTCTCTCTCTCTATATATATATATATATATATATATATATATATTATATATATATATATATATAGAGAGAGAGAGAGAGAGAGAGAGAGAGAGAGAGAGAGAGAGAGAGAGAGAGAGAGAGGAGAGAGAGAGAGAGAGAGAGAGAGAGAGAGAGAGAGAGAGAGAGAGAGAGAGAGAGGAGACAGACAAATAGACAAACCGACAGCCACACAGACAGGCAGACAAATAAACAACCAGACGAAGTAAACAAACGGACAGAGATTCAACGAAGCAAATGCGGAGAGAAAGAGAACCAGAAACAAATTTGGATAAATGTCGATGATAAATTTCCCTTCGCGAAGAACAGATGCCCGATCCTCGCCACGGCTTCCACTTCGACCACAATAAACAAATAACCAACGGCCTCATTCACTCTCTTGACCTTTCTCTTTGGCTGACCTTTATCAGACCTTTGGACGCTTTTATTTCCTTCATCAAGGGATTGGATTCTGTAATTCCATTTCCTCTTGCATGTAATCAAAAGTTCAGTCGGAGATTTTTTTTCTTCTTTTGAAGTGGGGGGGGGGGCATGCTTATCCGTCTGGTAATATAATTTGCGAATTTGGTATGTCATTTAACCTTTGACCTCTCCTAGCTGTAGGATTGTTTATAACGCCACTGCGAGGCTGATTTTTAGAATTTGTAACGCTTGATATAACCACCCGTACGAGCATTAACAACACTACTACCAACACTACCACCACCACTACATACACGACTTACCGACAACTTCCAGGACTGGTATCCAGCAAATCTTACCAACAGTACTGACACCCTTCCAGGACTGGTATCGCTACCAAAACTGTCCCTTTCATCCCTGGCAATACATCCATAAGCCCTGCCAACACTAGCTTTACCTCTGCCAACACCAGCACCACCTCTGCCAACAGGACAACCTCAGCCACGCATCCCCAGTAGAGATTCTAATCCGACCTTAAGGAATTAATCCGCGCTGACCCGTTTGAGGGGTGACTGAACCTTTTTCGCGGAATCTGGAGGACTGTCCTATCACCCGTTCTTTTATCTGTCTGCCTATCTATATTTCTTTGTATATGTATTATTTTTTTATCTGTTTATCTGTCCGTCTCTCGGTCTATCTATTCATCCATCTGTATATCTGTCTATCTATCTATATTTCTTTGTATATGCATTTTTTATCTGTTTTTCTGTCTGTCTCTTTGTCTATATAACTATTTTATTCACCTATATATCTGTCTGTCTATCTATTTTTCCTTTGTATATGCATTTTTTATCTTTTTTTTCTGTCTGTCTCTTGGTCTATATAACTATTTATTCACCAATACATCTGTCTATCTATCTATATTTCTTTGTACATGCATTTTTCTGTTTATCTGTCTGTCTCTCGGCCTATCTAACTATTTATTCATCTATATATCTGTCTATCTATCTATCTATCCATCTACCTATTAATCAGTGTGTCTGTCTGTCTCTGATTGTTTGTCTGTCTGTATGTCTGCTTGTTTCTCGCTCTCTCTCTCTCTCTTTCTCTCTATTTATTTATCTGTACATAATCATCTATCTGTTCATTCTGTTTAGCTATTTTACAAATCCCTTTCCCTCCCACCTATTCATCCTCCTATCCTACTCTCCCTCGTTCCTTTCGCCTCTCCCCTTACTCCCTATCTTTTCTTTCCTCTTTCTATCCCTCCCTCTCCGTCTATTTCTCCTTCCATCTATCCTCTATTTCCTCCTTTCTTCCCCCTCTCTCACCTCCTTTCCTCCCCTTATCCTATATCCCTCTTCCCTCCCTCCTCCTTCCCTCCTTCACCTCCATTCATCTATCCTCTCCCTTCGCTCCATCCCTCTCCCTACCTTTCCCTCTTCCTCACCCCACCCCTCCTCCTTACTCTCCCTCCACGGCCCCTCCATCTCCTCCCTACTCTGACCCCCTCCATCTTCCGCCTCCCTCCCATCCTCCCCTCCTCCCTCCCTCCCTCCCTCCAACTCCCCCTCCCTCCCCTCCTCCGCCTCCCTCCTTCCCTCTTCTCCATCCCTCCCTGCTCCCCTTTCCCTCCCTCCCCTCCTTGTCCTCCTCACCTCTTCCCCTCCCTCTCTCCCTCCCTCCGTCCATCCATCCCTCCCCTCCCTCTCCCCTACTCCCCTCCTTTCCCTCCAACCTCCCTCCCACCCTCCTCCTCTCCTCCCTCCCCTCCCCTCCCTTCCTCTCCTTCCCTCCCTCCCTCCCTACTCCCCTTCCTTCCTCCCACTTTCCCACCATCCCTCCCAACACCCTCCATCCTCTATCCCTCCCTCCCTCCCTCCCTCCATCCACCTCCCCATTCCACCCAGAAGAAAAACGAAGACCTTTCAACTCCTCGACGCTGCAAGTTGCTTCCAGACAGTCACGAATTCGGCGCAAGAAGCTCCGGCATGAATCAGCGACGTCTTACAGGGAGATTTTCTTACTGATATCGGGCTGGAGTTTTCTTGTTTTTTTTTTTTTTTTTTTTTTTGGGGGGGGTGAGGGATGTCTTGGGGGTGGGTGGGTGGTAGGGGGTAGGGGGTTGGGGGTAGGGGTGGGGGGTCTTTCGTGGCGGGGGGATGGGGTGAGGGTGTCTTTGGGGTGGGTGGGTGATAGGGGGGTAGGGTTGGGGGTATGGGGGGTAGGGGTGGGGGGTCTTGTGGGCGGGGGGATGGGTGAGGGTGTCCTTTTGGGGTGGGTGGTAGGGGGTAAGGGGGTAGGGGGTTGGGAGGAGGGGTGGGGGGTCTTTCGTGGGCGGGGGAGAATGGGGTGAGGGTGTCTTTGGGGTGGGTGGGTGATAGGGGGTAAGGGGGGTTGGGGTTTGGGGGTAGGGGTGGGGGGGTCTTTCGTAGGGCGGGGATGGGGGTGAGGGTGTCTTGGGGTGGGTGGGTGGTAAGGGTAGGGGTAGGGGGTTTGGGAGGAAGAGGGTGGGGGGTCCTTTTCGTGGGCGGGGGGGATTGGGGTGAGGGGTGTCCTTGGGAGTGGGTGGGTGGGGGGTAGGGGGTTGGGGTGGGGGGGTTCTTTCGTGGGGCGGGGATGGGGTGAGGGTGTCTTTGGGGTGGGTGGGTGGGGGTAGGGGGTTGGGGTGGGGGTCTTTCGTGGGCGGGGGGATGGGGTGAGGGGTCTTGGGGTGGGTGGTGGGGGTAGGGGTGTGGGGGAGGGGTCTTTTCGTGGGCGTGGGAGGTAAGATTGAAAGGGGGATGGGGGGGAGGAGGTTTTTTTTTTTTCATTGTTTTGATTTTGTTTTCTTGATTTTTTTCTTATTTTTGTTTGTTTGTTTGGAGGGAGAGAGAGAAATTTTCGCTTCTGATTTATCTATTTATCTATTTGTTTTGTTTTTTTGTTAGGGGAAGGCTTTTTTCTTCAATATTTTCTCTCTTTTTATCTATCTTTTATCATTCTGGGGAGGCTCTCTTTTTTATTCTATTTTTCTTTTCTTTTTCTTTTACATTGGCTCTGTGAGTTTTCGTTTTCTTTATTTTTTCTTTCTTTTTGCCTTCCTGTCTCTTTTTTATTTGGAATTTGTGTGTGTGGGCTTTCTATTTCTTAATCTTTTATTTATTTTCTATTTTTTACTTTTTATCTAGGGTCTGGGTCTTTTGACACGCTAGAGAGGAAAATGTGAAAGACTTTCATCTTCGTATTTCTTATGTCTCGCTTTTATTTTGTTCTTCTTCCTTGGCATTCTTTGTTAGTGTGAAGAAACTTTTTTTTTTATCGCCTGCTGTCTTGACATTATTCGTGGGAAGGGATGGGGGGAGGGAGAGAGTGGAGGGACGGAGGGAGGGGGAGTAGGAGAGGATTGGAGGGAGGGGGAGGAAGGCGGGACGGAAGAAGAGGGAGTAGGGAGGGATGGAGGGATGGAGGGAGGGGGAGAGTGGAGAGACGGGAGGGAGGGGGAGTAGGGAGGGAGAGAGTGTAGGGAGGAGGAGCAGGAGGGAGGGGAAGTAAGGGGGGATGGAGGGAGGGAACGAGTGGAGGGGACGGAGGAGGGGAGTAAGGGGGGGATGGAGGGAGGGGGAGTAGAGAAGGATGGAGGGAGGGAGAGAGAGAGGAGGGACGGAGGGAGAGAGGGAAGGGGAGTAAGGAGGAAGAGAGGGAGGGGAGTAGGCAGGAATGAGGGAGAGAGGGAGGGGAGTAGGCAGGAATGGAGGGAGAGAGGGAGGGACAGAGGGAGTAAGGAGGTTGAGAGGGAGGGGGAGTTGGCAGGAATGGAGGGAGAGAGGGACGGAGGGATGGGGTAGGGAAGGAGAGAGAATCGAGGGAGGGAGGGAGGGATAGTAAGCAGGGTAAGGGTAGAGGGTGGTGAGGGATGGAGGGGGGGGATGGGCAGGTGGAGGACGAAACTTTTCATTGGTTCTTATGTGGATGACATTTGGTGGACGGAAGGCAACTTGGAACCACTTTTAACGCGATCCGGGGGAAGGAGGCGAGAGTGGGGGGAGGGGAGTGGGGGGGAGGTGGGGGAGGGGATGGGAGAGAGTGGGGAAGAAGAAGGGGAGAGGAAGGGGATTGGAAGAGGAGGAGGGAGGAGGAGAGGAGAGGGAAAGGAAGAAGAAGAGGAGGGAAAGAGGAAGGGGAGTGGAAGAGGAGGAGGAGATGAAGGGGAAGGGATGAGGTAGCGGAGAGAAATTAGGGGAAAGGGGAGGGAAGTGATAAAAGATGGGGTAAAGATGTCTGGAAACAGTGCATAAAGGTATGCTTGTCAGTTTATATTGCATATTTTTTATTAAAATACAGGGAACCAGATGCCTGTATACGCAAACACCACGTTAATGCCTCGCCATTCGAAAAGATAAATAAATAAATAAATCACACAAAAATCGAGTAATGAAAACAATAATAAAACAAAAATACATCAGAAAGAACAAAATCAAAGACATCTTAATACAGGGACGATTATTACCACAGTCCCTGAGGTCTGAGAACATGAGCCGATCCACAAAGGGAGATTTTCCCGTGTCAGATGACTCACTCCACATCCCAACATCATCGGGTTTCCCCTCAGCTGACGCTCCCCTCAGCTGATCCTCCTCTCAGCTGACTTTCACTTCGGCTGACCCTCCCCTCAGCTGACCTTACTTTCAGCTGACCTTCCCCTCAGCTGAATTTACCCTCAGTTGATCCTCTTCTCAGCTGATTTTCCCTTCAGCTGACCCTCCCCTCAGCTGATCTGCTCCTCAGCTGACCCTCTCTCATCTTTCCCTCAGCTAACCTTCCTCTCAGCGACCTCCCCTCAGCTGACCCTCCCTCAGTTGATCCCCTTCTCAGCTGACTTTCCCTTCAGCTGACCCCTCCCCTCCTCCTCCCTCAGCTGACCCCTTTCACTGACTTTCCCTCAGCCTACCTTCCTCTCAGCTGACCCTCCTCCTCCACTGATCCTCCTCTCAGCTGATCCTCCTCTCACTGAACCCCCCTCTCCTCCTCTCAGCTGAGTTTCCCTCAGCTAACCTTCCTCTCAGCTGATCCTCCCCTCAGCTGACTTTCACCTTAACCTCAACTGACACTTCCATCGGCCTGGCCTCGCTATCATTATGTACTTTAGTCCTCTCCAACCCTCCCTCTCATTCTTCTCTTTCTTCTACTCCTCCTCGTCTTCGTCCTCATCACCTCCTTCTCATTCTTTTTTTTTTCTTTTCTTCATTGTTCCCTTCGCATATCCGTCTTTCCTTACCTCGTTCTTCTTGTCCTTGTTTTTATTCTCTCTCTCTCTCTCTCTCTCTCTCTCTCTCTCTCTCTCTCTCTCTCTCTCTCTCTCTCTCTCTCTATCATTATCTATCTATCTATCTATCTATCTATTTCTCTCTCTCTCTCTTCCTTCACCTTTTCCCTCCCATTCCCCCCTTACTTCCTCTCGCACTCCTTCTCCCTCCTCTCCCCTCCCTCCCTACTCTCCACCTCTACCCTCCCTCCCCTCCCTCCCTCATCTACTCACAGTCCGGATAAAACAACGGAGTCACCCCTGACTTCCCCCCCCCTCCCCCCTGACTTCCCTCCCTCCCTTCCCCTTCCTCTCCCTCCCTCCTCCCTCTCCTCCTTCTTTCCCTCCCTCCCCCCATTCCTCCTTCCC